ATAATAATAATAAAGACTCCAGTCAGCCTGGTCCCTTGATTATACTGATATGCAGCCTGGAAACTTCCAAATAGAAAGATAGGGACCCCAGTTAAATTTGAATATCTGATAGGCAATAAATAACATTTAAGTATATATCAATTGGGCTATGGGATATGCTTATACTCAATCCCTGGTACTGAAAAGAAAAGAAAAAGAAAGAAATACATGGATAAAAAGGACTTGTTTATTATAATTCATTAGTCTTAACATTTTCTTGAAAAAGTGAAGTACACAATAGTAGCTTGAGTAATACTTTCTGAAAAACTATAAAACCACTTTTTTTAAGTCTTGTTTATATTTAAATTATTGTTCTACCAGCTTTTCAATGTAAGTATATAGATTAATTGAAAATAGAACAAATCGTACCTGTTGCAGATAGTTTCAGGAACATGTAGCTTCAGGTCTTCTGTGACTTCTCTCATCACCCTCTGGTATCCAGACATTCCTGGATCTTTGATATAATTAGGATTACTCCTCATTAAGCATTCTCCCAAATAATTAATTGGATCAAATTTGATTGGAACATCAGCTTTGGTTAAAAGATTCTTTTCTTGTGCTGCTAACATTTTTTCCATTGCAGGAACTAAGGTGGGTAGGAGTTTGTCAAGCAAATATGCACGAGTACTCAGTGCTGTGCTTTCAATATTAAACCACTCTTTAGCCAAATTATCCCTAGGGAGTTTTTTTTCAGACTTCTTTTCTAATTCCTTCTTCAGATTATCCTTATCTATTATTTTCTGTTGCATTGCCTGGGCTCTTGCCTCTATTCTTTTAAAAAGATTTTTCTTCCATGGTTCTTCTAGCTTTAGTTTCAGTTCAGTTTCCTCTAAATTAAAAGTCACCCTTGCAGGTTTTCTAATTACCATATTCCCTGTGACTTCAGTGTTCAAGTCCATTGTCAGACCATTCGAGGTTTTCAGTTGCTCCTCTGGGGTTAATTCTTGAGAGAAAATAAAAGAAATATAAGAAATAGTAAATTTTAACATATATGACCCAGAAATATTACTTCAAAAAATGTTTTAGGGACCAGGGAGATAGCTCAGTAGAATAAGTGCTTGCCTGGCGAGCACAGGGGCCTGAGTTCAATCCCTGGTTCAAAAAAAAAAAAAAAAAAAAAAAAAGTTTTATACCAATTGACATAATATAGTTGGATATCTGAAAACAGCTGAATGTGTCACAAAGTGTAACAGTCATAAGGTTATGGTTCAAGTCATATCCTTGAACCATAAGGATATTTACTGTTGACTTAATCAGAAATTATTCAGCAGATCAGTGATTTCATTAAGTACCTAGACTATTTGTTTTATTCTTCATTCATTTTTTGCACTTGTGCCTCATGATACATAATGGATTTTACTACTCCAGACATCACTTCTAGGGTCAAAGGGTTGGGGGCAAAGACACTTTCTCCCTTTGGGATTTTGTTTTATTATTCAAGAGAAGACAAAATTCCTTTGTCCAGTCAAATACTTCCTTTCATATTTCATTGATGCAAATTATGATACATACCTATTCCATGTCTATAAACTTTTTTCATTGATTGTCAAGTTGCACAAAATTTCTTTGATATCAAGTGATTTCTATATACTACAGCACACAAACCTGGGGAAATATGACCTTTGTAGGCAAGAAAGTCTACCATACGTGTATATTTAAATATATTTATTTTCATGCTTTTATTTCTAGACTCTCTAATATTTTTATTTTTTAAATGCAAGATGGAGATATAGATAAAGATACTGGATTGAGAATACCTTTCTACATCTGTTCCCTGTCAAGACTATCCAGAAATGACAGGAAAGGTTGTATGTGTATTCTTTAAGTACACAGAGGAATTGCATACAATTTCTGTAAATCATGAAATATTTAGAAATTTTGAGGGTCTCCAAAAAATGTAAGGGATTCCCTTAATTAAACTATAGGAAAGAGGACTAAGATGGTGGAGTGATAAATAGTAGAGAAAGAGCCTCTCTGAGAATCACTGTCCAGATGCTGGAATATAGCAATGTGGGAAAGACAAGAAGAAAGGAAGTGGGTCCCCTGGACCCAGGAAATATCTAAGTTACAAATTGAAACCTATAGAGAGAGTGAAGGGAGAAACTTCAATGAAGAGGAAGCAAGTAGTTGGTGGTACCTTTTCCCTTATATAGGACTTACTGTGCAAGAGGAGCAATTTAGAGCTGCAAAAAATTGGTGAGTGCTGACAACTCCAGAGGCCTCCACAGAAACGTAGAGCAGGGGAGAGTAGCATCTGACTTGAAAGACTGCACTGGCTGGAAGTGAATGCTGACAGCTTAGACATCCCATGTGAAAGAAGGAATGGCCATGAACCATTTTGGAAGGACTGGTTGAACCCGGAAATCAGAGCAGTGGCCAGCTCCATAGAGCAGCTTCCATCTGGGCTCAGGCCTGCAGAAGGGCTGCTGATGGTGGCAGGCTGAATAAATGTGGTCTCTAGGAAAAAAGAGCAAGCTGAGCCAGACTCTCAAGTGTAAAGATCATATTGTCTCCCTAGTGTGAAACGCTGAAAGAGTAAGATCCAAATTGTACAATATATATTGTAAAATAAGAAGAAACATCAAAATGAAAGAGAAATTTGGATGAGGAAATGGAATAAAGAATGAGAAGCAAAAAAATTATAT